TTTTTTTTTTTTTTCCAGAACCGGGGATTGAACTCAGACCCTCACGTTTGCCAGGGAAGCACTTATTCTATTGAGCCATCTCCCCAGCCCACCCATGGATTCTTAAACATATTGAAAGAGGTGCATTGAGTCTATAAAGCACCACAGTCTCTCAAGCCACCGGATTAAATCCTTCAAGTAACCCCAGTAACAGGATCATGCAGACTAGCAGGTCCTGCCCTTAACGGTGTGGAGCCAGCAGGCTGTAAACTGATTACACTTGAATCAAATTCTGCAAATTCTCAACTGCAATGAAGACAATGGACAGGCTAACATGTTTTGATTCAATTTCTTCCGTCACTATCTAGTGGCAACTTAGGGCAGCTTTCTCCACCACACAGACATGGAAAGCTACTTTCTTTGGAAATAATACATAACCAGAGCCAAAGACAATGGCATCTGCGGGAATCTCAACCTACGTGTGCTCTAAAAGTCACTTCCATTCCATCAAAATTCAAGTACATAGCAGATCCATTATATTACACATCCAGCAAATATGAAGGCTTGATGCTTTCAAAATAGAAATCCTGCAACGAATCAGGGAACTCAGCATCTCAGTGCTCGGATCTCTACAGAGATGGGCTTCCTTTTAACCCTCACAGGAAGCTGCATGTCTGTTTCCATTTCACAAATGGACAAACAGGCCCAGAGTGGTGAATACATTGGCTTTGCACAGAAAATTGATTTCAATTTTCTGGTTGAAAAATGGCAGCTGCAATGTGAGCACTGGCCAATCTGCAACAAAGCTTCATCTTCCTACTTGCCAGGCCCCCAAGTATGGACTTTCTTCCAAGCAGAGGGGTAGGAAGTAGAAATAGGATAAAATGCTGCTAGTGTACACCAGGGGAAAGATCACAACAGGCTCCTCAGGGAGCAGAGAATTCAGAAATCCCTAAAGCTGGACCACATATTGATTTCCTTGGGGGTAAGTGGGTGATACTGCCACTGGAAAAGTTAGTATAGAGATTTTGCTTTGCCCTTTCCATGGATTAGCTCGACTGCAATTCAGAGAGTGTGACCTGCTTACATCCAACAGAAGTCAATGACTTTCTCAAATATACCCAAAATCTCTGCATAGAAGCTCAATCTCCCTTCCCACTGTGTCAGCCACTAACAGAACCAGTGCACATATTTGATTAGGAAAAGACAACTACTTCGATAACAAAAGGGGGGAAACACCTCTCTTTTAAATTATCTCTAACTTTCTAAAGTGTTTCTCTTTTAAATTATCTCTAACTTTCTAAAGTGTTTCATCTATATTTGGCATTATTAAGATTCATCACCACAGTTAAAAATAAAATGAAAGTCATATTGTAATTTTGCTTTTACAGTTACAAATTAACACAGCTGAAAGATTCTTTCAGTAAAATTAACATTTCATAACATCTTATCAATCCAATATACCAGGTACTCAAAGTATATTCTCATTTAAACGTACTGAGTTGTAAAACTATTTAATATCACTTCTAACATATTATTTACTTTTCAGTCTTTTGTCAGTGGAAAAGAAAATTAGTAAAGGAAGCCTTTTGTGTCATTTTATCATCAGTTAGACAGTGACAACTCTGCCTGAACACTGTAGCTTGAATTGCTGAGCTTCTGATTTAAGCATAAAATTAAACTTTAAAAAGTAAAGATATCCAGAAATTTACGAAGCAGAAAGAAAAGGCAGCCTGCTTTATGGGTACTCATTCTAGATATGTTCATCCCATGCTGAAGCCTGAAAAAGGCAAATAGGGAATTTTAAAAGACACCATCTGCTGTGTGATCAACTTAACCCTTAATTTCAGCATCACCTGCTGTTGAGCCCTTCTCCAGGATGGAAAAAAAAAAAAATGACTAGCATATGAATTAAGTAGCAGTTTTGTCAGGACCTGAGAATATCCCCTTATGTGACAATTTGGTAAATCCAGAATTACAACCTGTTATTCTCTCCAGAAGATAGAAACTGTTATGATTTACATAAATAAATGCCACACATACCATGGTTGCCATCAGCCAGGAGTTCAGGACAATCCCATGGCAAACCAATCTTTTCTGAAAGTTGTACTTTATTTTCTTTGGAATCAAAGGCCAATTTTTCAGAAAGCTATGAAATCTGAAAATGTTTAAGGAGAGTAATTCCTCAAGTGAAGAATAGTGTCTTTAAAAATAAAAGTAAGACAAAAGTAAAAGAGAGCATATATATTTTCTGCTTAAATATTCAAAGATAACGTAGCATACACAAGAGTTTGAATTTTTTTAAAAAGCAATGTACACTTGAAAATGCTCTTGTCCTGTTATTTGTACACCTGACATTTTACAGCTTCTAAAATACATTTAACAAATGCAACACAACTCATTCAGGGTTGATTTGTGTTCACAAAATAATTTTATTGTATGTAAGAAAGCATACAGGCAGAAAAATTAAGAAAACATTCACAATACATATATAACACAGACCTGATCCAGGAAATATTCTTCAGCAGATTTTGTTCTTTTTACGAATTTCATCTACTTTGTTAAGTCAATTGCTTATCAAGAATACTACTTTGTAAACATTAAAAAAAAAAAAAAACCTGCGTTAAAATACCCCACATGAGCTAGTACCTGGCAAGGGAGGCTGATGGTACTTTTTATAGTCAACACTATGACATGGGAACCTGATTGCAAAGCACAAAGAAAGAGACATTTGCAGAGAGATACTGATGGCTTTGGGGTGCTTGACACACCCAAAGAGAATGAAGTCTCCCATTCATTCCTTCAACAAAACTAATGTACCTTCTTTGAGGGTGATTAGGCACTGTTCAATTGTTCGCATACCATTAACATTTAAAGCCCATTTTTTAAAAGTCAGTTCTAAATTCGGATTAAAGCACTACAAAATCAGCCCCAGTGAGTGGCTTGGTTCAACCTGGACAAATGAAGACACAGAATTTGAGCTTTGTCCATCAGTGAGGCTACTGTGACCCCAGAATTAAGGAAACTTGCTGTCCTTTCTACGTGTCTGTATCCAGGACAGCCATTTGTTTGGTTCAGAAAAGCTATCTGAAGCATGAAATGAGAAAAAACGGAAAGAGCCGATTATTTTACATAGATGCAAAGTGGCACATACTTTTCCTTACCACCCAGGATGATAAATGCAAAGTTGGGTTCTTCCTAAGATGGATTTTATATAAGATATTTACAGTACTGCAAATTCTCCCGGGAAAAGACTGCCATTTAGGACATTTAGAACACAATAGTAGCAATGTTTTTTTTTTAATTTTTTAAAATCATTTTGAGGGAAAAAAAGCATTCACAGCATTTGTCAATTCTCACCTTGTACCTATTACTGCCAGTGCATTTTAAGAAATCATTACAACTTCATTTCCTGTCAGCCTTTTCTGTATTTCTAGATGTTCTTCATGAACATTTAGAATCAGAGTCTGTGTGTTTGTTTCATTGGCTTATAAAGTGCTAGTTCAATGGACGGCTCAATCTCAGATAACTCATTTTTTGTCCTATTAAATATGATAAATATAGATTTATTATGATAAATTTAAAATATACATATAATACAATAAATAAATAAAATCAATATCAACAAAGCATCTCTCAGTTCCGAAAAAAAATCCCATTCCTACTGTAAGGCTCAATTTTTTTTTAGAAATAACTTATGAAGGCATGCACCTACCTTTACAATCTGAAAACTTTTCTTGGAACAGTTTTAGCACCTGTTTGTATACAGCAAACTCAACCCTTCTCATTTCCTTTCCAGAAAGGTTTGATTTTTTAAGTGAAGCTGTTCATATGTCCTAAGACAACAATTTCAAAAATGAGTTTGGAGCCAAAGATGTGTCCCCTTGTGGCTTCCCATATGCCCCTGTTCAATGAACTATGAATAAAAGAAAATACATTGGAATGTATTTGAAAATATACTTAGTTGTCTGTTTGAAAGCAGCAGAGGGCTCTCCTGGCATCTCACTATTTCACCAGACCTGATTTCTAACAGCAAGTCCCAAAGAAATCTCCTTTAGCTTTTGCATGCCAGGATTCATCTAGGAGTTCAGGTTGGGTGCTGTCCATTGTGTGTGATGGGCTGGATCTTCTCTAGAGAGACATCAGTGTCATAATCCAATATGACTGATAGGGCTGGGGACAGCTTCTCCGTGGGTTTGGCTATTCCCCCTGCCTCCTCCTTTTTCAGGTCCTCAGAGGAACCTACTGCATGTGGAATCAGGTAGACCAGATTGCACTCCTTAGAGATGGAGCCCCGTGGCTCGTGATGGCTGGAAAACACCACAGCCCCGTTATTGTTGATGCTGACTGTCTCTATGGCATTATTTGTTGTAGGGCAAAGTCTGTAGCATCCTAAGAGAGTTGAAAATGCCTTTTGAAAATCAGCATTAAAGGCATAAATGATGGGGTTCAGGGACGAATTAGCCCACCCGAACCACACAAACACGTCAAAAGTGATGGAATCAATACAGAAAGGCTGGGTCTCTCCAGACTCACAGAAGGGCACCATGCAGTTCGAGATAAAGAAAGGAAGCCAACAGCACACAAATACCCCCATGATCACGGACAGAGTCTTCAAAACTTTAGTCTCTCTTTTGAAGGACATCTTGAAAGAGCTCTCTGACTGAGAACATTCAACAGGGTTCCCGTTACCTGTGGTGGTCTGGCAATTCTTGGCATGCACAGCAGCCCTCTCCAAGGCTGAGATGCGCCGTATTTGTTTCTGGGCAATCCTGTAGATACTGGTATAGGTCACAATCATGATGGCCACTGGGATGTAAAAGCTTATAAGGGAGGATGAAATGGCATACGTCCTGCTCAATCTGGTGTCACAGTTGTCTGTGGTCTCTTCCAGGAAAGTAGCATTCCCATCGGAGGGGCTTGTGGGTTTTGCCTTGTGCCAGCTGAGCTGCACAGGGATGAAGGAGATGAGAACAGACAAAGTCCATGCTACACTGATCAGAATGAAGGCTGCCTTGGGGGTCATCTTCCTCTCATACTGGAAGGGGCTGGAGATAGCCCAGTACCTATCCACGCTGATCACACAGAGGTTGAGGATGGATGCGGTGGAGCACATGATGTCAAAGGCTACCCAAATATTACAGAAGGACCCGAAGGGCCAAAAGCCTGCAATCTCAGCCACAGCTTTCCAGGGCATGACCAACACAGCTACCAAGAGATCTGACACAGCTAAGGAAATAACAAAGAAGTTGGTCACCTTAGACCGCAGGTGTCGGAACCTGATGACAGCAGCACAGACCAGGGTGTTGCCCAGTAGAGTAGACAGGATAAGCAGTGACAGGAAACAGGCTGTAAGGATGCGGAAGGAGAAGTCTCTCTCCACGACCAGACCAGCCTCATCCATGCTGGAGGTGTTCAGAGTCATCTTCCAGAAGGATTCCACATCAGGGCTTAACGCCCCTCAAATAGGAAGCAAGGATACAAGGTCAATCTGACTTCCAGGAGGCCTCACAGGCAGCCTGCCAGGCCCAGCACCAGCTGCTCCCTAAGGTGGAGGACCTCACCAGCATTCCCTCGGAGCGGCAAATGTTTGTGGCAGAGCTCCCCCTTGACAATCGGTGTCAGCTCTGGGTAAGGTCTCTCTTGCTTTCTACAGTTGTCTTCTGATTCCCTTGTTCCAGGTCACTGGCACCAGTACCAGCTCATCCCTAGATTCCCTCAAAGAAAGCACTGGCTTTTTAGCATATTCTAAGCCATCAACCCTGAGACACCCAGGCCTCTCTGCCTTGCCAGTCAGTCCCAGTCACATTTCAGGGTCGTTGCCTCTAGGGTGATGACAAGGAATTTTTTCCCTTCTAAGACGCAGCTGAAAACACATGTCTTGTTCCTCCAAGCCCCTGACTCTTCAGCAGCTCTCTCAACGCCCTAAAAAGCGAAGGAAAAACACACCGTCTTTCGCCAAGATTTGAGCAGATGTAGCTTTTACTCACGTCAAACTCAATCCAGTTACTTTCTGGGCACACCCGACAAGGCCACCTACCTCGCCTTGGGGTTGTCTCTCTTGGGGAGCTCAGAAAGTGGACTTCTACGGGCACCGCGGCTCCACGAAGCTCAGGAAGCCGCTCGCCGAGCTCGCTCCGAGGCGCAAAGCATCTCCTGAGCGGGTTTGAGGAAAGGATCTCTCGGGTCGGGTCTCCAGAGAAGCTGCGCGGCCCGGATCCTTACCCCTTAATTGCTAGGGATTGTTCCAAGTGGACAGCGCCCAGGAAAAAGGCCCTACGGCTCTGGGAGCTTCCTTAGGAGAGGGTACCCCCAGGACGAGCCCTTTGGGCAGCTCTGCTTCCTTCTTCTGGAGCTGCGTTCTGGGTACCCCGTGGGCAGCCTGCGCCCCCTCAGGGCAGGACGCAGATCCTCCCTACAGCGTAACCTCTCTGGAGCCGGAGGGAAGTTGATCAAAGCGCTAAACTGGCACAGCTAGCGCACGAAGCTGCGGGTTCCCTCGGGGCACAGCTCACCTGCCCGTCCTCTCCCCTCCCCTAGGGGCGGGCTGTGCTTGATAGGCAGAGTTGTAGGCAACAGCCACACGTGGTTCACCCGGATGGGGCCACCAGCGAGCAGAGGGGATGGGTGAGTGGGACCCAGGTGAGCGCTGGCCCTCACTGGTGACCTCGCCAGTCCCTGGGCCGCTGGACAGGTTCTAGAAGGGCTCGCAAGACAACTCCCAACGTTAAAACCTCACATCAACTGCCTGCACACAACTCCGCCCGACACTCGGTACTTCTGGGGATCCACCCTAAGCACTCCCCAAAGCCCAAGGTCGGAAGAGACCCTGTGCACTCCCACGCACACCGAGCAGAGGGACAGTTGGCCCGCGTCCTACCCACACCCTCCCCAAGTGTCCCCAGCTAAGGTAAATTTGGTCCCAAGGGAGTCCGTGCTCACCGTTCTCCAGGAGGGCGCGACGCTACTAGTCGGCGCTTCGGAGCCCAGCAGGGGCTCACTTAGCGCTCTGCCCTGCGTCCCGGGCTGTAGTCAGCGGCGGACTGCAGCCGGAGCCCCGCGAGCGTCCCGACCAGAGCACACGCGCGCTGTGAGCCCAGGGCGCCCTCTGCCGGCGCCTGCGGCTTCCGGAGCCCGGCTGTGCCTGGCAGGTACCAACCTCCCTTGCCTGGGCTCAGACACCAAAGGACCTTGGCCACTCCTCCCTGGCCACGATTGCCAGCATCTTGGGAAGGAAAAACCGAGTCTTCCTCCTGCACCACTCTTCTGAAGCCTGAAGTACTCCTAAAGTCTGACAAGCTTGAAACACTTCCTTGCTGTTACGTCGTTAACAGCACCACTGCTTCTCCCGGTGCTCACTAAGTGCCGAGCGCTGGGGCAACAAGACAAGCAAAATAGTTATTCTCTCCGACTGTACCCGGTATCTACTGAGCAGACGCAGGGTCCCAGGCACACACCTGAGGACATTCAAACCCTTGTAATAGTCGTTCTTCGTAGGCCTGCTCCTCTCTTCACCCGTGGGGAAAATGAGTCTCGAAATTTCCCGCCCAAAGTCACACAGCTAACGAGGGACCGAGGTGGCTGTGGCTTGTGTGTCCTTTCTATTTACCACATCCAGGACCAGAGGCTAAAACCTAATTAGCTACCGGGCTGAAACAGAAGAAAGAGCAAGAGAAAGACAGGAATGCCTGCAGAGGATTCCCAAGGTTTCCTCAGGTACCCCCAGGAATGATGCAGGCCAGAATGTACTAATAGTGCAAAAATGTTGGCAACATAGTACCTTCCTGTGGCTATGTGAAACTGGGAAGAAAAGAAGAGAAAGGATTTAGCGTCTCACTGCCTGCATTCTGTTCATACCAATGGCATGAGGACTACAAGTATTAGATGAGCTACTGGCTGCAGAAAGCTTGGCACCAAAACTAGAACCCAATAACAAGTCACATTTCACCTCACTCCTGCTGATAGGAAACCACAGTGATCATTTTTTTAAAAAGTCTTATCTCCATGAGAACCAGGCATTACTTTGACTGTTATAATTTTCTGTATAAAAACCCCGTGTCTAAGTAACAATTATATCTAATTAACCCATACAAATCACATTTTGGAATTAGATGAAAAGATTCCATGGCTGGCACAGACACCCTCCCTCCTCCTAGTTCTGTCCTCTCACCAGCAACCTCATTGTCACACACTGGGCACCACAGTCAGGATGTCAGGCACAATATCTGCCATGCACGTGTCCCAAGAACCACATTCCTTAAGCCATGAGCGATGTGACACTTCCAGATCATTTTCCTTAGGATAATCACTCTCCAAATTTCTTGATACTTTATTTCATCTTTTTTTTTTTGCAGATAAAAATTAAGGAGTGTTTTCAATTCAGGGCACTCATGTGAGCCTGGAGGTGCAACTCTCACATTCTACCCATCCCATCCTGAAATACTTCTACTGCAGTTACTCAGAAAGGCAATTGCCTACACAATAGGCAATTCAGCACCTTGGAAAGCAGAAAGCCTTGATAGGCTTTGTTGTAAGATCTAAAGGGCAGGTGGACCAGAGAAAGGAAACACTCCTCTGAGAATTGTACATGGGGTGGAAAAATATGTCTCAGGCACTGAGGAAGAAATCTCATCAGAACATATTAATTCCTCCAAGCTCAAACACTAAGGGCTGGAAGGGAGGATGAGGCCAGTTAGAACAATAAAGTTCCTGGCAGATCACCCTTGAGACCCTACTGCCATATCTAACACTCGCAATATCCATTGCCCCTTAAATTATAACAGTGACAACCATAATCAAGTATGTGAGGCTCAGGCATTATCACACTTAGTGCAACACCAGCCCAACAGTAAAAATTGCTTTATTCTAACAGTAACCAAAGCCATGTTGGAAGGAAATGCTGTTCATAGTCCATCTCACGTTTTTATTTCAAGCTGAGTAGCTGCTCATAAAAAAATTATATCATTTCTTTAAAAATTCTCTAAATTCTTTCAAACTAGTCCATGCAAGCTTTATTCTTTTAGTCTCCATTCATTTATCAGACAGGTCCAGGCAATCAAATCAGTATATATCATTATTATTATAATTATTATTATTATTATTATTATTGTAGTAGTAGTAAAGATCTATGTCTCCACCATAGGTAAATTTATGCCATTTTCAATATCAGGACATTAAATTTCCACTTCTTGTAGCATTAAAAAAAGTCCAGAAATAGAAAATTCTCCTAAGCAGTAAAGAAGGAAAGAAGAGCCAGTGAATACCTATGGGTGGTAATTTTTTGTCATCACCAGAAAGACAAGAATTTTGGACCATTTCTTTAGAAGTCTATAATTCAAAGATAGACACCTGAGTTCTCTTCCCACACGACTTAATCAGCCTTTAAGTGTAAGTGCTAAAGGAACAGGAAAGAGTGTAATGCCACATGAACTTTAGGGTTTCACTTTGCAGAGTGAATTTCAGAGGACCTCAGAGTTTGGCTGGAAATTTGGGTTTGTTGAGTTTTGGGTTGGGATCTCTCTCTCTCTCTCTCTCTCTCTCTCTCTCTCTCTCTCTCTCTCTCTCTCTGTGTCTGATTTTTCTCCCTTGAAGGAGAGTAAAATAAAACTTTCCATTTTGTTCTATAAAAATCTCCTCTAAACATCAAGAGCATGAATATCAATGCAAGAAGGTATTAGCATTAGACCACGCTGGGAATGTACACCCAAGCACAAAGCACCTTTGTTTCCCAAATTGGCACGTCTTTTAAGTTCCACTGTGATTTAGGCACTGCAAGGAAGGGAAGTGTTAAATGATGCTTTTCCACAAAATTGTGTTTGTGATTTGTAAAACTCAATGAAGACAGAGGGCACACCATCAAAGGAGGAACTTAATCTCATGAAAGAATAAATAAAACAAATGTCAAGTATATCAATGATATGTGTGGGAAGCTTGAAAATTATTCAATCTAATTTTAGACACAAAATGACTGTATGTGGTATAAGGAAAGAGAGATAAAGCTTGGCTGACCTTGAGAAAGTAGTTAGAATGCTTAGTCTAGTCCATAAATGTAACTTCTCTGAAATTCCTAGTCTTGTGTTCTATTTTCCTTTCCTATTGTTATTATGAAATTCAAATATCAACACTTAAAACTCAATATGTAACACTTTTGGTAGTGGTTGAGAAATAGCATAACGTGTCTTACTGAACATCTGTCCTTTAGTTTTCTCCTTGTTTTCTTTTTCTGTCTTGTATGGGCTAAATTGAGTAGGATTCCTGTTTGTGCATTTTGGTTTTTTGCCATGCTGAGAATCAAACCCTGGGCTCCTCACATGCTAGGCAGATGCTCTATTACTGAGCAACATCTTCAGTTCCTGAGTAGTTTTTCAATACTTCCATCTCATCTCCTTTATTGGCTTACTTTTATAATTCTTTGTTATTTTTATGGCTGTTTCAAATTTATATCATACAAATCTCTTATCCATGTCTGTCAAGCCTATCTTCATGTGATATACTA